GCCAGTTCTCTGTTTTGTTTTTGTTCTGCTCAAGCAAATGTTACTTCCTTGGCTTGCCTGTCAGCTTCTCTAGTCTGTTTTCTCTGGTGTGGTTAGTTTTTTAAAAAACTTGTGTTTAATTTTCATGATCTCCTCCTCACTATTTTAATCTAGCTATGCTGTATTACCGACACACACATGATGTTTCATATACGTTTTTACTGCTTGCTAGTGATACAATGGTTGCAAGCTAAATTACACACCTCTGCAGCTATTGAAGGCCTCTGATCTTCTTAACTCTGCAACCTCATTTCTCTGTAAAAGTCAGAAAACTACTCAAGTGGTGCCAGAAACTGCCACAAACCTCCATGGCTCCTTTCCATAATACACTTTAAATCCCATGATTTGTTAACTTTCATCAATTTATTCTCCTCTTATATGCCTGTCTCCCATAAACTTACTCTCTACTAGCTTTTATAGGCTCTTCACTAATGCACCATACCCATATCCCAGCAATCTATATCTTTCCTCCCCATTTGCTAAATCTTCCTCTATTAAACTGTCTTCTGTACGTGGCATCCAAGCACCCAGGGCCGGCTCCAGGCACCAGCTTAACAAGCAGGTGCTTGGGGCGGCCAAGGGAGAGGGGAGGCATGTGCGGCAAATCGGGGGCAGCAGGTCTCTCACTCCCTCTAGGCGGCAGAAATGCTGGAGCCGGCCCTGCGAGCACCTCCCCACTGTACCATCCCACTCCTTAATATTCCCTCCCTGTAGGCACTCCTCCAAAACAACCTTACTCCTACATATTCCCTTAGACCCATCTCCACTCAGTTATTAGTATTTGTGTTGCTACAGTGCCTAGATGCATGAGCTGATATCAGGGTCCCATTGCATTAGGCACTGTACATACACAAAGTAAGAGACAGCCCCTGCCCTGAAGAGCTTACAATGTAAATAGCCAAGACAGACAAAGGATAGAAGGAGAAACAGACCTCAGAAGGGGCCATACTTACCTCAGGTCACATAGCAGATCAGTGGCAGAGCCTAGAAATAGAACCCATGTTTTCTGAGGCCCAATCTGGTGCCCTAACCAGTAGAACATGGATTGAATAAAGTTCATGGAGGATAGGTCCATCAGTCATTATTAGCCAAGGTGGTGAGGGACACAACCCCATGGTTGTCCTTAAACCTCCGACTGCCAAAAGCTGAGCCTGGATGACAGGGAATGGATCACTCAAAATTGCCCTGTTCTGGTTGTTCCCTCCCAAGTTATGTGCCACTGGCCACTGTTGGAAGACAGGATACAGGCTAGATGGACCATTGAGCTGACCCAGTACAGCCATTCTTATGTTCTTCCACTTCATTCCTCTTCTTCCACTCTCCTGACTGACCCAGTCTTTCTGCCATTCTTCATTCTGTGCTTATTAATACTTCCCTGAAGCAGTCAGAAACACCAGTCTCTCCCACTGCCCCTAATACCTCCTATTCTGCTCCCCATTTCCTTTGACACTCCTCCAATTCCTACTCTTCCACCCATAGATCTGTATTCCTGCCCTCCTACCTGGGTGGTTTAAGATCTGACATTAAAATCCAAGCAAGCACTTCATTTAGTCCAACAGTGAAGACTTCCTTAAGTTTACCTTCATAGCACTTAGAGAATTTTGCATTCAACTACAGTCTGTTTGTGGGTTGCATGTTGCTAAACCCAGACAGGGTTTCCCTCAAGGGAAAATTCAGGCTGCTGAAGATGACTCAATACGGGGCGACTCTTCCCTCTGAGAAAGTATTGGAGATATTATCAGACACAGTGCAGCTAGAGATGCCATCTTTCAGATAAGTCCTGCCAATGAATGTTAATATAAAAAATCCCCTTGCACTAAGAATAGCATTTACCCAGCTGTACCAAGTTTGAGTAATAACAACTCCTACCATGTTCTGCCTGCTTAATTCCCCCCCTGCTATTTCACTTTGATGTGGAATTCACATCCTATCACAAACGGTCATGCATCTTTGCCGCTACTGTTTTTCACTCCAGAGTGAGCTATCAGAGAGATACCTTGACTTTTAACTGCCACCTGTGTGCGGACATAAATAGATGTGGGCATTTTTGATTTTTATTTTTGCACTCAGAAAAGAACTTCCATATCCACCCAGATGAAAGTTCCCTATTACATTGGAGCGTTGTTGGTCTCAGAAGAAAAATGTGGAATAAATAAAATGGGGACAAAATAAGATTTCTTTGAAAATGCTGAAAGAGAGGTGGAGCATGGAAAGTGGCAGGGCTGCAGACTGTGGTCTGTGTGTCTTTGTCCTGTACACAACAGACAGCGTGAGGCTGTTGTGCTCCAGTGCAAACGTGCAGAGATAACACATGGGCACATGTAAGGTTAAGTGCCTGGCAGCCCTTGATGTTAATTAGAAGCACTGTGGTCTAGCGGATAGGGCGCTGGATTGGAAAGCTGGTTCTCACCCTGCCACTGATCTTCTGCATGACTGTGGACAAGTCACTTGACTTCTATGTTTCTGTTTCCCTCTTCAGTGTTCTCTATTTAGACTATACGCCCTCCAGAGCAAGGACTGTCTCTCCCATTTGCATTGTGCCTAGCAGAGAGGGGCCTACCTTAACATAAATAAGTAGAAGTAAAGTTCAAGCTCCTTGAGCACCACTCCTTCATACACAAGAGCACTGGGTAAGAAAGAGGTGTGGCCAGAGGAGAGCTCATCCTTACTATGTAAATAAGGGGTTTAGCTATGGGCTTCCATCTTAGTTACTTCTGCCTTGTGACAGAAATAAGCCAAAGTCCTGGTCTACACTTAAAATTTAGACAGACCTAGTGACATCTCTCAGGGGTCTGAAAAATTCACACCTTGAGTGCAGCAGTCAAGCTGACCCAAACCCTGGGGCAGACGCGGCTAGGTCAACAGAATTCTTCCATCGCCCTAACTTGGAGACATGGATTACCTACATCGACAGAAAAACGCCTTCCATCTATGTAGGAAGCATCTACACTACCGCTCTGTAGTGGTGCTTCTGTAACACCCACAGTGTGGGGATGCCCTTGGTGACCCCCACATCAGAGCTCTCATTTAAAGTGAGATCAGGTTCAGGGCTTTTTTGAGCCTGGAACAGATATATGCAACATCTACCCAGTGCAGTGTAAAGCCCCAGGTATACCACCCCAATGCATTTTCTTCAGATTAATCTAAGAACACCACAAATGTAGAACATGGTTAAAATAGGATATTTAGTTGTGTTATGAGCTTTTATTTAAAAAGCACATTTATACAGCAATAATTTCGCAGATACAAACTTCAATTTTGTATTCTACAAAAGTCTTTGAATATTCTTCTCTTTACAAAATGAAACATTACAAAAATACAGACAATTTAATATGATTTTTTTATACAATTGTCTCTAGTTGTAGTTATTTTCATTAAAATATTGCTACCACAGACCTACAATATTTTAGTTGACTACAAAAAAAAATTAATTCAATGCTTTTTTAAGCAGCAAAATGTAAATAACACAGGTCAAGACACAGTTTATAATCATAGTGGATATATCTAAAAAATTGTTTCAGAAATAATATTTTACATAGTTAATTTTTAATGTTTTATACATTATTTATATAATATTTATATATAAAAATCATAGCTTGCTATAGCTGAAATGATAGGACGGATTGTGTAATATAGATGTGCAAATGGCCATTCCACGTGGTTTGCATGATCCCTTTTCAATTTAGCTTTTTTTCAAAGTTTTAAGATAGATCTTCAATATTTGTCTTTAACTTCCATCAGAAAGCCAAAAAGCTAGGAGAAGTAGGCCAAATTCTGCTCTCTTTTACACACTCTTGATACACTAGCGATGTAACTGAGATCAGAATTTGGCCTAATGTCTATTGAATGGCTTATAAACAGGACCCTAAACAGAGAAGATGAGGGAATGTTCAAAACTGTTTGAAATCCAGGCTAGGACGTTCCACCCAGCAGTCCGTCCTAAAACTGCAGAATCATTGTTCCCTGGGACTCAATCCCAAATTCATAGTGCTAACATATCTTCAACAAGATTGACCACTAACAACTGACATGATGTGAACTCCCAAAGGTGGCGGCGATAGCACAGAAAATCCTTCTGCAATTTATCAGGGCCAGGAGTAGTGAAGAGAGCCTTTTTTTAAATTAGGCCATTTGTCAATTTTGCGTAGGCTTGATGCCTCGTACAGTACTAATGTCACCAGGTACGCAGTGGAAATGAAGAGATTTGGCTTCTAAGTGGATAACGGATTCATTCATGCACAATTTGTTGTGGAACCACCTTAGATTGTTGGGTTTTTTTTTTAAGTTTGTGTAGTATGACCAGGCACCCTTCTGACATTTTTGACCGGGCAAGCTTCTTCTGAATCAACATCACAGTATGGAACGGAGTCAAACAAAGCAATGTTAAAAAGAAGGGGGGAGAGGAAAAGAGCAGTTACACTTAGAAACCAATCCCAAATCTTGAATCAGTGCTGTTTCTTGTAGATAGTGCTATATAATTTAGTTGTGAGTTTTTCTTACAGGCATTGGAAATCTTCCTAGTAAAAGCTAAGATGGCCGGCTTTACATAATCGTTTAGTGTTCATTATGCTATGAACAATTTGAGTTCACTACAACATGAACACTCAACCAATTGCACATCCAGAATTCCGGCATCACTGTTTGTTTGTTTGTTTGTTTTTCTCATTGTTGCTTTTGACTTAGTTGAACAATACCCATTTCATGCAAATGTTGCAAGTGAAAAGGCCAGAGAGTAAGACCTTATTAGTTGGGCAAGAAAGTCTCTCCCTACATTCTACTGTCTGATGAGATTTGAGAGCAGCAGGTAGTTGCTGTCAGCAGTCATTTTTGCAAAAAAAAAAAAAAATAGGTGGGAGGGGTGGGCGATTACTGAGGAGGGGGAATATTAGGCAAGGCGCTCACCATGCTCTG